ATGTTGCAGTATTATTTGGAGAAAAATAAGAGCTACTCTTTCGCCGCAACGATTCATATACAAGATTTTGTTTTGATGCACGATGCTTATTAGCTGTTTTTATTCTGAACAATCAATTAAAAAAATAGTTTAAACGAAATTTATAAATTACGTTGCGCAGTAAAAACAATCGGATGTACTGCATCTTGGGCATCTAATGTTTCTGGATACTAAATCCCTTGCTGAACGAATCCCTCTTTCTCTCCATATATGCAAGCAAAGCGGGTTGTTGCAAAAAAAATCAGCAGTCCAATCTTCCATTTCTTTAATTCTCTCTTTGCCAAGGAAACTTATTCATTTGGCATGTGATACCAAAATGAAAACTCAATATGTGCTATCAATTCTCGTGATCTGAATTCTCCGCCAACGTTGATCGTTATGTGTACAAAAAGAAAATAAAATATGACGTGCAACGTATGCAACAATTAAAGTTTACATTTGATATTTAAATATAAACTTCATTATTATTATAAACTCTCTCAAATTGAAACTTTGTTTAATTCGAATGTAATTATATCGATATTTCGATTGTCTCATAACGCTTATGCTGTCAAGTCAGTATGGAGATAAATTCATAATGAAGTATACAAATCGACATAATATTGCATTAATGCTTATTCATTTCGGGACTGAGACAATTGAACGCAGGATTTATTTTAACGGATGGCCACAGTGTAAACACATTTTTGTTGACTGATCCACTTGCTGAATCTTTTTCTGTTGTGGCAATGATTCATTTGATTTGAATGCATAATTATTTTTAGAATGATTTGTTGATTTTTCAAATCATCCGACCTTCAATCTGATAACCCTAGAACGCATTGCCCAATTTATAATAGGTAAAAATACTAGGGAACAAAAATAAAAGTAACCAAACGTATTGGTGTGAGCTCCACATATTGTCGCATTGACATTATTTAATTCCTTTTTTATGGGATAATTCCATGGACAGCGATTAACGAAAAATATACCCCCCATTGAGACAGATAAATGCTGAAGATGTTGGCTTGGAAGGTAGGTAATGGTTCCGATTCACGAGATTCATTGGTAAGTTAAACGAATCAGCCTTTTTTTGTTTTCATGATATTAAACGAATTTATGTTGCACGACTGAAAAACAGAATCAAACCAATAGTTACTTTTAATTAAATTAACGGTTTAAGAAAGTCGACGAAAGTATTGCATTTGCCGTAGAAAGCGAAATAAATAAATAGTTTCAGAGAATACTCAAAAAAATTTAAATTTCGGTATAAACGCGAAAAAGTTAACTTGCTGATTAAATTGCATTTTTTGTTCACGTGCTTGCTTGGACTGTGCTTGCTTATTCCGTCAATGAAAACAAATCTTCCAAGCAGACAACACGTCAAGATGTGAATAAAAAAATTGCAAAATGAAAATGACAACGGAAATGTGATAACATAATCTCACTTGTTTACAATCAATCAAAATATTATTGCAACATGCATATATGTATTTGGATTTGTCTTTTTGCGAAATCACGTCTAGAGTAAAGTAGAAATCACAAGTACCAGTTCCGTATGTTCCATTGTGAGCAAAAGTGCTTTTTCATTATTAGAGACATTTGTACCGTTCTTGCCAAATTTTGTTGAATTTCTTATTTATTATAGCCAATTTATAGCAATACAGTGTTTATGTTTTCTTCAAAATCAGAGATTTTGCAAGTTTATTGACAAATTTTTATAATATAATTAAGAGTGTCGTTTGATTTTTTTTGTAAAAATGAATATAAAATGTTTATTCGTTTTACTATTTGTGTGTCTCAAAGTCCATGTAAATTCTGATCTTAACGAACAGTTGATTGAGGCCGCCAAAAAGGGTAATTTTAAACTCTCATCAAAATATCTATAACATAAATGACTGCGAATGTGTGAATGAATAAATTTTTTATCAATAAAGCACCAAATGCTTACTAGTGTATTTGAAATACGTGTTTGTGTCAAATGTATAGGAATGGATAGATCGCAGAGACACCCTTTTTCATTTTTGATGAAAATGAACTGTGTTGGTATTCTAGCAAATAATTCCGATCGGAATTATTTTTGGTCGGAATTATTGTTTATATGAACAAATTCATTAAGAAAAGAATTAAACAATTACAGTGGGGGTACAGTGGCTGCTGCGACTACTTCGGCACCATTCGCTCACTGAGGTTAAGCTGCATATGCTTTGGTCAGTGATTGAATGGGTGACCGATAGAACATCGTATGTAAGTTACTAACGTTACTAACGGGGTTTTGAGCCAAATCGCATCGGCTTGATAGCAGCTTGACAGCGCATCAGCTGGATAGCAGCTGAATAGCGCACCAGCTTGATAGCAGCTGATAGCGCATCAGCTTGATAGCGTCACAAAATCACCGAGAAAAAATAATCTTGGGTAATAATTACGCCTTTGGGTCTGTGCAAAAAACTTAATAGCTTAAGCATGAGCGACACCTTCTAGCTCCTCAAATAAAAAAAAAACAATTGTTCTTTTCTTAATGAATTTGTTCATATAAACAATAATTCCGACCAAAAATAATTCCGATCGGAATTATTTGCTAGAATACCAACACTGGAATCTTTGATTGCGAAGTTAAATTCGATTTATTGTGCCGTTTGCTCATTGACTCTGCTCCATGAGTTTGGATTTTATAAGAAACTGCATATTTTTGGAATATTTTTTTTTTCCATTTTATTCCATTTTATATAAACTGCAAAAATATAATCATACGGATTGTGCACACATCCTATTTATCCCGATTATAAAAATATTGTTAAAAAACATTGAAAAGAAATATTTAAAATCTGTTTTTCAACTCAAAGTGAAAGCAGGTTAAGGAATGGTTGGATCATTTTCTACAGAGTTAGTGTCTACAAAAAGTGCAATCCTGTTTCCCAACCTGTGAAGAAATAAATTCCTATAAATTTCATTCAATATTATTTATAAATTACCATAAGAATAGTCATCAAATTACTTTTGATTGAGCGTTTCATTAAAGAATATCGAAACTTTCTCAATTGGATTCATATAATTTTTCTTCATTTCTTCAAGCATAGCAGTTTCAGTATATTTTGAATCCACATCATCAAAATTGAATGTATATCCAGTTAATGGTTTTTCCATATACATGATATGAAGGTAATATTTAACAGCGAATAAGTGTGATAGAATATTTGTGTTATCATCTTGTACCATTCCACCATTTAACCATAGATCAACAGTTCCAAGTAAACCCCAGTAGCCTATTCGGTGAAGAAAAAGTAATTGATCATTTCGATAAAAAAATGGTTTCAAATATCCTTTTACCTTTGGAAAAAAGAGGAAATATCGAAGAAACTTGCATTATTTTTCTACTATTCGTATGAAGTGCAATAACCTCATTTGCATCTTCGCGCTTAAGTTCTAAATCATGTCGTAGAAACAAGCAGGTAAAAGGAGGAATCATAGAATGAAAACAAGGACCAGCCTAATGGTAGAAAAAGTAGATTAATTAGTTGTATGCCTTAACTGTTGAATTCATATCAAAAACCGAAAAAAAAACAAAAAACATACCGCATCGAGCGCAATAATTCTCTGAATTGACATTTTACCCTTACTTTGCGAATGTACTGATTTTCCAACTAAAGTTACAAGACAAATTGAAATTATTTGTGAAATAACAAAGAAAAAATGTTATTCTTTAAAATGTCATCTTACTGAATCCCGCAACATGAGCTCCCAAACTGTGTCCAATTATTTCCACAGTAGACAAATTCATCTTTTGAGCGTTTGAAGCTCGGTATATGAAATCACCCGCTAAATTACCAACACTTTCAACAAATTGATGAGCACACATGTAAGTGTAACTTGCTCCTTTTCGCCAATTAATAGAAATCAAATTATGATGATTCAATACGCCTGAATTTGTTCCATAAATTTCTACAAATATTAACCAAATAGTCCGTGAAAAATGAACATGATTTAAATGGATAGATTTGTTGAAAATTACTTTCTGAAAAGTGGGGTGCGAGATCATCAAACCAATTATTACCAGAAATAAAACCATGAATGATAACCTTTGTTGGCCAAGATTTGTTAAAGTATTCATCTCCAAATTTTTCGATATCATTATATTGAATTACTGCTGGATGAACTCGATGATTTGGTGAGTATAATTCAATGTCAATATCTTTGTATGGATTGAAACTTCCACAAAAGAAACTAGGGATCTCTTCAAGTCGCATCACTTGGAATTCCTCAAAACTGTAAGCTAAATGATTAAAAATGACATGAAATGGAAAACATAGTATAGAGTTCTATTAAATGAATTCAATTAAATTTAATAGACCGAGAGCAGATGGGAAAAGATCTATTATTTTTGCTTTATTTCAGAAAACTATATTAAACCATGCAGCTAGACATACACTAAACAAATAATGTTACGTCTTTTATTACAGCCTTCCCACTCGCGAAATCTGAACTATTATTCGCGGATAGAAAATACATCAACTATTAAAGCGAGCTGCATGTTTGTTTTATTTTGGAATATGTTTTGTTATTGCTCAAATATTCGTTGGTTAAAATTTCTGCATGTAATTCCGTGTTGTTTACAAAATCTGCACTAATTAATTATTTAAAAAAAA